CGATTTCCAAGGATTAGCATTAGATTACTTTCATACTTTCATGCATTAGTACTAATATCTTTATCCTGAAAGATGTATTTATAAGCAATGCAGAATTTTAGGCAAATTTCATCGCAAGGTATTTACTCCTTGTGCTGAATCTTGAAGGAACATAATAATCGCTATGGAGAAGATTTGTTGCTCAGGCGGATGATACTGAATTACTTATGTTCTCTGAAATAACCAATTTAAGTGCAAAGCTTTCTTAGCTATCCTTCTGGACAAGATCTTCACCACAGGTTTGAGTGTTAAATGAACTAATTTCTATTTTCGATGAATGATGTTATAATTGTATCTCGTGGCAATCACATTGACGTATTTCCTGTTGTACTTCTTCATTTGATTTTGATGATTTAAGTGGTGATTCTACGGTAGCACAGAAATCTGTTACTGAGGCGTCAACAGAATTGTAGTTCAGTCTTTTCAGAAGAAGTTGCTCTTTGATTCTTATTAATAGTTGTTTCGTTAAATTTACCGCTAATTAAACGTCCTCCGAGGTGGAAATTAGCCAAGCAACACGGAAAGCAAAAGGTGAAACTAATGATCACTGATGGTCACAATCAAACTTAAAAAAAACGAGCAAATGGTTAAATTTCAAAAAGAAAGGGTTGCACGGATTACTAAATAAAAACGTGTATAAATAGATAACGCTGTCATTACAATATCAAGCAAACGGCACCAAGAACGAAGACAAGTTGTCCACAAAGAAAAATTAGATAAAATTTTGCAAAGCATGCCGGATAATGTTCAGAAATGTGCTTGGAAACCATGTGCGGCTTGTGCGAACATTATAACTAGCTTCGCAGGAGCGGGTGAATTTATAAATATACAGTGAAGTGCTTAAAAACGACAGTTTATCCTTCAACGTCTATTGATCATTCGTCGGCTGTAGAAATTGATCCGTAACTCAGCCGTAAAGAAATCCTTTCTCAGTGGTCTGGATAAGCCATAGTTCCTCAGAATATCAGTTGTGGTATCACCTTTAAATTCAACATTCATGAATGGCAGTTTCTCCGGCACCGTCTAGTTTCTTTCTGGCTTATACTTCACCTTCATGTTTTTCTCGATAAATATTGGAGGATATCCATTCTCTATGAGGACTTGTCTGAATCGCTCCAGTTCTTCGTGTGAAGCTAGTTATATTGGCCGCACAAAACGCACACACTTTACAAACGCATCTCTGAACATTATCTGACATGGTTAGCAAAAGCACAATGCCAGACAATTACTAGCTAAGATTTCTAAACAACCACCACCTGAAGAAACTCCAAATCTATAGAGAAAACCATTATCGAAAATTGAAGAATAACTTCTTCAGAAAGGAATGAACTACAATAGTTTTGACGCCTCACTAACAGATTTGTGTGCTTCCATAGAATCATTACTCAAATCATGAAAATCAAGTGACGTAGTACAGCACGAAATAAGTCAATTCGATTGCCATCAGAAAGAATTATATCCTTCGTGGATAATTCAAATAAGTTCATTTAGTACTGAAACCCGGGCTGAAGATGTCGTCCAAAAGTTCGACAACAAAAGCTTCTCAATTAAACCAACTAGCTCAGAGAACATAACTAATTCATTAATAATCGATAATACATTATCATTTGAAGAAATATTGCTTCATCCAAACTATGCTCCAATGTTACCCCACAATATTCCTCCTCAGTTTCTTTCAACACATTCTTAACGACCGAATGAAACCTATTTGAAATAATGCGATTATAGATTCGGACGTATTATGGACAGCAAATCGAGGTATCTTAGTGATTTAGGCAGTCCGCCATATGGCTTTACGAATAAATCAGGTTTTCAAAGGAAAATACAATGAAGCAACCATCTTGAACTGTGAAAACTTCTGATCGATTTGCAAACTTTGAACTAATTTACAATTCGTGGAAAATACCCATTGGAACATTAGATTGAGAAGAATAAAAAGTTCAGCAAAGATATCTTTTCGGCGATTTCATTTTCAAAAGCTGTACAATCGCATTCAAATACATAATTTCACATGGAGACAATTCTTGTTTGATTCTACATAATTATGACGGCGAATAAAAGGTGATAATTATTTCAAACTAGATATGGTTTTACGAAACAAAATTACGCAGGATTAGAACGCATATCAAGTGTGTAAAAATGAGCATGGATACAAAATTGAAATAATAATTTTCAACTTGAGATGGGAATCAGGAGGTGCGAATATAGATAGAAGAAGACTTTTCGGCAGCAACTCTAGAGTGACATTCTATAGCCGCCCACTTCTTCGGAGCAATGGGAAGGACAAACTGTCGCATATGGCCAATTCAATGTGCATTTCCAGTTCACCTGCTCGTGCGGAGCAAGGTACATAGGTCGTTGTATGCGCGTCCTTTCAAAACGTGTTAGAGAACGCTACCCAGCGTGGCTGCAAAGAGGAGGCACCGGTTCAATCAGAAGTGCCATTATTGAGCATCTGATCAACACCTCCCACAACATCTCAACTGATTCATTCAAAGTAATTTACAAAGTCAACAGGAACCTACCGAAAGCAGTTTGTTTCCGACTTCTCTGTACTGCAGAAGCCCTCGCAATATGCATCGAGAAGACAGAGCTGTGTGTCCAAAAGAAATTAGTCCAACCTCTACAACTATCATGAACTTAGTTCGGTATGTTACCGTAGCTTCTTTTTTTTTTGTTTGTTTTTTTTATCCCTTTTCGTTCACTATGTGTGTGATTCTTACTCCCTCAGTCTTCATTCGATTCACCCCATTTTTTTTCCAGTTATAAAAAACAGTTATTTTAAGTTTGTTTCCATGCTTTTCCTGTTCACATTTATTATTCGTTTAAAAAAGAATTTACAATTATATCATAATCCTGTGCAATTTTTTGTGTTTCTAAGGCTCTTGTAATCTATATTCACACCTCCTAACTCCCGTCTCAACTTGAAAATTATTATTTCAATTTTGTTTCCATGCTCATTTTCTATACTCCTGTAATTCGTTGTAACCCTGTATAATTTCTAAGGCTCTTGAAATCTATATTCGCACCTCCTGATTCCCATCTCAAGTTGAAAATTATTATTTCAATTTTGTATCCGTGCTCATTTCACACACTTGATATCCGTTCTAGTCCTGCGTAATTTTGTTTCTAAGCCTCTCGTAAAACCATATCTAGTTGAAAATAATTATCAGCTTTTATTCACCGCCTTAATTATGTAGAATCAAACAAGAATTGTCTCCATGCAAAATTATATATTTAAACCGATTGTACAGATTTAGAAAATGAAATTGCCGAAAAGATAGCTTTGCTGAACTTCTTATTATTCTCAATCTAATTTACAATTGGTAACCCGGAGTATAAATTACTTGAGTATGTATTCAGCACTGATGGATCGTCGATACATATTTTCTCAGCTATCGTGACTAGTGAATTGAACTTCGTTGTTATTTTTTAAGTGTAGTATAAAATTATTCTGAGTATTTTTCGCACAAATAATAAATAGACAAATTGACCTTTGTAATATTCAGTATGAGTTGTCTTATTCCAAAGTTGATAAAAAGTTAATTAATTATGTTCTGATAAATATATGAGTGTGTATATTTATACATCAATAAGAAGTGTATCACAAATAAGGACCGACGAGATTCTTTCACAACTTGTAAGTTCTTATCAGAATATCCTTATTGTAAGAAACATTTTCTAAAATACACCACGACTGATAAATGATCATCCTCTGTGAGAATAGTGCAAATTTCTTCACCTGATTATTAATAATCTTAATTTGATTGCTGATAAATTTTTCTAAGTATTAAGCGCACGAGTTAATAATTTGAATGGCATGAACGAACCAACCAAGAACCTGTCGCTCAACAGATATGGTGGAAGAAATGGACGTGGTTTGAACAGACACCTGGAAGACACAGATGCGTGACACCACGTCTCAGTCTGTCTGGCGAAACCTGAGTGGGCAATGAAGAGTCTGACTTGAGTTCAAGAGTGATATGGATAAGATCTTATCAGCTAAAAATCAAAGTTTATGGGCAATCGTGAAGTCAGATCAGGAGAAACTCTTTGAACCCACGACTTTGTGATTATCAGGCGAGGTTGTGAACCATTGGGCCATTGGGACCCGGTCCAATGATCTATGAATTCAAACTTTGCTGATGACATTCGCCAGTTGTCGCACTATATCATGAACTGGCAGAGGTGGGAATTCATGGGCTAACCTTTCGATTAGGTTCCGGTGGCTTAATGGTCTACGAGCTTGCTCCCCTTGTAACCAGAAGGCCGTGGGTTCCAACCCCTGGTGATGTGTACGTACTGCGGAAGAGTGCCACACTAGGCTGAAGAAGCAGCTGGCTATCCAGTACTGCCTGGTGGGATTTCCAATGATTCTCTAACAAAAGTCACCTCATAATGAAATCCTGAAATGAACATACGTATTCACAGATATCTAAATTAATGATCAAAGTACAGAATTCAACAACTAAGGGCAAACATATTTATTTCTCGAATTCGAATTATTTGTACGAATTCATCTAAAGACCTATGGGCTAACCACAGACTAGCACAGAACCCAAGTAGACTGATAATGCCGAATTCTCCCACCTTTAAGTGATATTTCTACAACAGTGGAGATAATTCATGAAATACTGATCTTTATCAAACGGTACAGGATTTTCTAATTTCTTTTATAGAGTACTTGTTCATTATTGTCGGTATTACTTGTACGTTTGAGTACAGACTAGTTATTGTTCCTGGAAGTCATAAAACCTTAATTCTGTACAATCTTCAGTTAAATTTTTTGTGAAATTCGTTTCGTTATGACACGAAATAAAGAGAATGGAGGTTATTAGTCGACAGCGTCTGAACTCTGGATTATCATGCAGGATCAAATAGTTTTTGAAATCCCTTCATTTAAATTTTCTTTTAAAAAGTCACACGTTCAAATCATTCTCCTCATTTCATAACTTTTTTAGGCAAAAACATTTACCAGATAAAACATTTTCAATGGAAGCAACTAAATTGACTGCTATTTTCCAATCACTTAAATCCAATGGTAGTGATCCAGGCTACGTAATAGTATTTCCTGCGTTCGGAGTACATGTCTCAGTTGCATTGGTATTAATGTAAGTCTGATGCTGATTTTGGGATCAGTGTGTCAATTGTATTAAACTTTTTCTCATGACGCAGCTGAATATTGTTTGCTAACTAACAGAAAAGACTAAATTCATGTTTGGAAAGAATAGGCTTCCCTCATAGAAGTAAACTGGAATATGTCAGTACTTTCAGTTTTCAGTTTTGTTAGACAAGATGACATGAATCACAGACAGAGAATCACCGGATAATGAATTAACCTCAATAATAAGACCAGCAGGAATTGAAAATGATTCAGATAATTGTTTAAATTCACCCAGGAATACTTCAGCGCAAAGTCTGAATTTGATTCCGAGATGGTGGATGAAATTATAAAAAGACACTTTTTGAGGACATCCTTTACTCATAAACAGGAGGCGGTATGAAATGTTGACCTGACTCTCAGATTTAGCTTCATTACTACAACGAATCTACTGAGATAAAACGGCATGTGACAACCACTAAAGAAGATATTGTTCGTCAGTGACTAAAAACGTGCTACAACTCCAAGACAATAAAACGACAGTTTGCAAAATTATATGACAAAACAAATGAATCTGGTTTCAGTTAGAGCAAAATGCTTAGTCATGGTTTTCTAAACCTGTGTGGCATTCAAACGCAGAGTCGTGTTAGAAATATAAAACAAGGCATATCCAACAACTGACTCAAAAATATCAAAATGATAAAGAAAAGGGAAAGGGAGAATACATGTACGTACATTCTAAAGGAATATCAATTTCAAATGAAGCTCTGTACCTTAGGTGATTTAGTTTCTTGCATTTTGCTCAAGCGACCAGATTTCAATTCACAGTACTGGTGAGAGAGAGAACTTAAGGTTTGACTCTCGGCTGACGTTGTAACAATCCTCGCTGAGTTAACCGGCCGACAGTAAGTCGGGAGAGGTGGGGAGATTGATTGTGAAGCTAATAGCCCCCCCACATAGAAACTGTTACAATGTTACTGAAACCAACAAGTCTGGGCTAAGTTGTTCCACTTCGAACGGATGAAATGATGAAAATATTTGGGCTACATTTTACAATTTAGAGAATTATGTATTAATCACGTAGTTCGGGAAAACACAAAAGACAACGAGCTTATAACTTTGACAACTTGACTCGAACCAAACTTATTTAGGTCACTACCGTAACCTCCAACTTCTCCAGTTAACTTTGTGAAGTCTACTGAAATGCATACCTTAGTTGAGATAATAGTGCATCGGTGGCAAAGTAATAGAATGCTCGCCAACCACTCCTCATGTGGTTGAGGGTCCGAAACCTGGCCACCGACGCTAAACTAGTATTGAGAGTGACAGAAAGGAGCATGAGGCTAGCAACCTCATCACGTAAAAATAATAAACACCACTGCTACCAAAACTTCAAGCCTCTATTTTGAAGCCCTTTGTTCCATTGGGAAGTTGGAGAAATAAAATAACTTGAGATAATAAATAAACGATGCATTCTACTTACGGCCACAAAGTGAATGCAATATAAACACTACTGTACACTTTGAAATGTCTTGCTAACTAGATTCAAATTATTTCTACAAATCCCGTGTTTATGAAATATGAAAGATTGAAATGCTGAATGCTTGTTTTATTTTCTCTCTCCCTGTATATTTTAGAATTATCAGTATCATACTAATTTTGATCATGATGTTCAGTAAAATTCTGTGGAAATATACGAAAATTATGACTGCTTTAATCACTATTGCAGTAAGTCAATTTTTTGTATCTTTGAAAGACGTACTTGTACTTGTAGCGTTCACTGTATTTATGCTGACCAGTTTAATAATTCTTGCATCCAGTATATGTGTGTCTTATATCACTTATCTCAGGCATTCATTCCAATCATCAGGGCATAGGTCTTCAACAGCACATTATCATTTCACTCTGTTCTCTTAAGCCTTTTCAGCTGCCTCCACGATTAGCCATAGGCGCTCATTTCCACCTCACATGATTAACTATTATGCTAACCCTGTGCACTCAACTACTCGTCTTTCAATTTGGGTTCCACTTGGGGGTGTCTACTGTGCGATTGCATTCAAAAGTGGTCATTTCCATTCTTTTCTGCATAATTTGTCGGCAACAAGTTCTTATTTGGTTGGTCCATGTACCTCCTTATCGCTGATCCGTTATTACTGTGTGTTCTTCAATATGGATCCAGCGAAGGCAGATATTGATTGCAAGTCTGAATAAGCCTGTTGACGATACTTTTTGTGATGCGCCAATTCTATATACCATAAATAGTTGAAATTATTATTCAGACATGCGTCTTCATAGTATTCGATATTTATTGCAGCATTTTACATTGGCAGTCTGTAAAAGTTGGGATTCATTCAGACTGAAACATTTGTGTACTTGTTCATAAATGCCCATTCTTAACGTTGGAGCATTTATTAAGCGACTGACTGAGTGCAAACAAATCGTATTTAAATCACAGAATATAAAAGCGAACACTTAAATTTAGTGAAGGAGAACAACCGATGCACAGAACTTCAGAATAACTCGTCATCTGTCTGACTTGGTGAACCCTTCTGTTTATGACATCGCACTAGAACTCCAGGTAATTTCCTGTATAGAGCAATCTACTGGTGAGTATCAGATTAATTTTGAAGTGTTTTTTTTCAGGAACTTGTTTGGTAGCAGGCTTGATCATGAAGTAGCATCAAGATTTATGCAGGAGCTTTATTGAGAAGGCGTGACCAGGAGACTTCAGCAAGACAGTAAAGAGAACAGTTACTCGCCGACGACATTAGTTGGTGGTTGCGCTTAGATCACGAATCTGTAGAGGTTGAATTTGATAAGCCACTTGATTCCGTTTGAATAGCTGCGTCGTCTATAAGCTTGCCTTGTAAACGGAAGGTCCTATGTGAGTGAGTACTGCTGAACAGTCCTAACAGCCATCCAATACTTCCTAATTTTCCAGTGGTACTCTGAACGGTATCAGCTCGTGATCAGCCTGTAACTAGTTGAATCTCTGTCGACCAACATTTGAAAAAAATGTTCGTTGATATTATTATTATAGCAAATGGTGACATGAAAGATATTTTCTTTGTAAAATAAAACACTGGTCACCAAATGAACAAGGGATTATCAAATTTTTATGTGGTTTTAAAACGTATTACACTCTATCCACATAAAGAAGATTGACGAAACGAAAGGAATTACCACATTCTTTGGCGGTGTTCAGTTTCAATCCGTGAAAATGAATTTTTACTCAATTTCTATTATGCTATACCCATTTTCTCGCATTCTGGATACAACAAAGAGCTTTAAATATGAAGTTCCGATAAGTGGACCTTTTGTTCTCTCATAGGATGGATATTCTAGCTTCAAGCTCAACCTACACTCTTTCTTGAGCATACTACCAGCTACTGAATCAAGCGACTCTCAGTAGTGCGTCGGCCGGTAGTCGAACAAAGACTAAGTTAGTAGCTGCCAAGCTTTCTACCACTGAACCATTCTTGATAAACTGAGTCTCTTCGAAATAAAGTGAGGACTTCCGCTTACTCTTGCCAACCATGTATTGAACTACCTGTAAATTCCTTTTGCGTTTATGGATTATTTATTATTATCATGATAAAGAGAAGGTGAACGATCATCGCCTCAACAAGAAAACATGATTGACCATGCTCTTTTTTTAAATAGACATTTTAATAATTTTACTTTATTTCAAAAGTCTAGAAAAATAATTTTTCCACTCTCCTACATAAAAAAACAAACATACATTTCTGTCTTTGTTTTTCATTAGAGTCTACTATGGTGTTTCGCCATCTGTATAGCATTCGCTTATCCACTTCCAGAAACCAAGTTCATCTTGCTCATTATCTGTATTGTATTGAATGCCTTAGCAGTTACTCTTGGAATAAGTATCCACCGGCTTCAGAGGACAGTATTAATATCACTGTTTACCGTGTCATTGATGATCGATTTGGTTGGAACAGTACTGCTTTTTCTTTCATTAGGCATCTATCCTATAGTAAGTGATGATGTATTTTATAATGTTTTTTTAATTTTATTTCGAACATTACTCAATCAAGCCCTCAAAAGGACAAAACAACTCCACTTCTCATGTTCTTGTTTTTTTCTCTGAACTTTTTTAATATGTTTCTGTCCAAATCACTTTATAGTGTCAAAGATCCACGAGTGTTTATAAGTGTATTAAATAGGATTCATTAAACTGAACCTTTTGAAAAATGTCGAAAATGAAGGCACTGACGGCCAAAACTGATTTGTTGTGGTCCTTACTCTACAGACTATTCTTCGACTTCTGTTGTAAAGCAACCAAAACTTTCTTGACTAACCTGACAACAACGAAATAACAGTTGAACAGAGCAAGAACAACAATTGAACCAGGATAATATGAGCTCATCTTTTATTATTTCGAAGATTCTTCTCAACTGGTTACAACCTGAACGATAAAAATATGAATTACATTAAAGATTTGAACATACTTTTTCACGATCACAAGGAATAATTGGTAGGAAGTAAGAGCAACATTAGTCCGGAATGATTTAACTAATTAAGAGTAACAAACACTGACTATTTATAGAATAATTAGACAATTCGGATTGAAAACAAACACAGAGTTGCGTATATATGTGTGTGTATAGAAACAAGGTTTGTCTAGAAACAGCATAACAAAAAAGTGGATTACGTAAGTAAAGAAATTGTTTTACTTAATAGCCAATAGAAAAAAATGAAGAGAAAAGAACAAGGTAGGTTGAGTCATGTTTAGATGAGAGATTAGAGTTTTTTAAACAAGAAAAACGGTGACTCATAGAAGTTGTATATTTTGTTATCACTAAGGCGGTGCAAGATTCACCACTGTCTCTTTCTCCGTACATAGATTTGGTTTTAGTCGTCTGGTAGCAATTGCTTCAGCAAAGCGTAGCAATTTAGATTTCTTTTGCTTGTTGATTATTTTGAATGACTTCAAGTTGTCTACATTATGACCAGTGTCTAATAGATGACGCGCAATTGCACTGTTTAATACTTGTGGACCTTTCAGTCTCAGGTTCTTTGGTATGTGTTCAGAAATGCGGAAAATAACCCTTCTCTCTGTTCTTCCGATGTATGTGCCTTGGCACGTACATGTAAATTGGTAGACACAGTTGGAGGTAACATGAGGTGGGTATTTGTCCACTTTTGATTGTCTCAAACAACTAGTTGTTTGACAAAAACATACAAGCTTGGCGGCTAGATATGTTCTTTTCAGGGCAGCGTTCAGTCTGCATCTTATTCTACTAGTAATATCATCACCTTTGAGTGCAAGCTGCAAACATATATACGCAACTCTGTGTTTGTTTTCAATCCGAATTGTCTAATTATTCTATAAATAGTCAGTGTTTGTTACTCTTAATTAGTTAAATCATTCCGGACTAATGTTGCTCTTACTTCCTACCAATTATTCCTTGTGATCGTGAAAAAGTATGTTCAAATCTTTAATGTAATTCATATTTTTATCGTTCAGGTTGTAACCAGTTGAGAAGAATCTTCGAAATAATAAAAGATGAGCTCATATTATCCTGGTACAATTGTTGTTCTTGCTTTGTTCAAGTTTATTAATGGGAAGAATTACATGACGTTTTTGAAATAGCAGTTATTTTCGCTAAGATCCATCGTGCTGTTCAACGGTGATAACATACCAACAACTCAAAATCATCTCAATAATGCCGTCGAGCAACTACGTAAATCAGGGAATTCTTCACTACACAACAAGTAATGTAGAATAAAAAATTAGTTAGCGTAAGAAAAATTTAAGTATGAGGTTGAATGTTTCCAACAAAGTGGGTTCAAAACTCTATCATCAATAATAAACACTTAGACTTTAATTCATGCCATCCAGAATCGGTAAAGATAGGTTTAGTTAAATGTCTATATATACATCTGGCCAGGGGCGTAACTAGTAAGCCAGAAGTTTTTTAAATAATGAAATCAAACAAATAAAGAAAATATTACCAGTAAATAACCACCTACCAGAATTCATCCGGAAGTATATGAAGAACCATAAAAAAACTAACATAGAATTCAATGCCTGTGTACAGCTACTGTACCAAGAAGGAAGGTCAGAGGCTTTACATTGGATTTTGAATGAACCTGAGACTAGGTTGTCATTTGAACCAACTCTAACAGAGATGAACTTTGTTGGGTTAAGGACCCAACAAATCCAATTAGGAGAAATAACATAACTTGCCAAATACCATGAAATGACTGCGAGTGAGGTTGATTACATAGTCCAATCAACCTAGTTGACTGGGATCAAGTAGATTGTTGGAAAATAAGAATTTAACTAGACCAAGAATGACTGAGTCTGCTAGGTGAAATAATGTAGAAAAATACTCAGTCATTGCATTGCATTCACCTGCATGTAATAACAAAATAGGGTGAGTGAGACAGGGTGAGGTTATTAGAAATTAGTTGGAGAGGCAGCGAGGTTAATCACTGAAGCTTTGTTTGTCATTTTGACATCGCACACTTGCAATCGAACTGAGGCAGTGCATATTATAAAGATATGGAAGGTGGCAACAGACAGCAAACGGAAGTTGTAGAGACAAACGGTCGAAAATATGTATAAGACGAATCGTTAGGCTCTGTGACAGAATTGATATGATCATGAGCAAGAATTTATGCTCGAAACGCCATCCTATTATTGATACTGCATCGCTGTGTGATATTTAAAATATACTTATCTAATATGTAATTATATTCTATCACAGTGCCCAAGTTCCACAATTCAATCTAAAATTAATCACCAAACACTTCACACAGACAGTTCTAGGTCAGTATCTTCATAGACAGCCTTGACTTCATTCACAAACGTCGAACAAACTATAAATATCATCACACAACAAAAAAGAGGAACATTAAAAGAAGAGAATAAACATGAATAAAGACCAATAATAAGGATTAAGGCAGCAGTTGATATGTCAAAGTTATAGTAGCGATATCAAGACCTTGGAGTAGGGATTTGATTGATTGGTTACAGAATTTCATCATGAGTTCACTTCGGTTAGAGAAACATTGGAAAACCCACCAAGCAGTACTATACAGCTAGCAGCAGTGCGCATCCACCACCAGAGGTTGAAACCCACGACTTTCTGGTTACAAGGAGAGCTCGTAGACCATTAAGTCACTAGGACCTCATTCAATGATCCATGAATTCCAGCTTTGCTGATGACATTCTCTAGTGGTTGCGCATTACCATGAATTGGCAGAAGTTGGAATTGATACGCTAACTATTGGATTGGATCCCAGTGGCTGAGCAGTCTACAAGCTTGCTCGCTTTGTAACCAGAAGTTTGTGGGGTCCAACCTTTGGTGGGGGTTGTGTACTGCTGAAGAGTGCCACACTAGGCTGACGAAGCAGCTGGCTGTCCAATACTTTCTGGTGGGTTTTCCAATGGTTCTCTAACCAATGTCAGTTCATGATGAAATCATGTAACCTATTACGAACTCTTTTATACGTTTCTGAATGCACAATGATCTACCAATAAAGTAAACGCTTCTGATGAATGTTTCACTGCTGTTATATAATCATCAGTATTTTTGTTGCGTGCAGTGACGAGTAGAGAAAGGATAAATGATTCAATAACTGGCATTTCAAACTAATCTTCTCACATAACTTTTATTTCTTATTCTTTTAGCGCAATTTTCAGGCCCTAGCTGAGATTTGCTGGTGTGTAGGTGCATGTATCGTAAGTTGAATTTCACTTTGTTAGTTTTATGATAAGGTATGTCGGACGAAGTAGTACATTTTCCATTATGCTTGATTATATTGTACCGAAAATCTCGGTCCCTGTTGACAAATCAGCTCCCATTAAGGACTCTTCAACGATGTGGTGGACGATGACTTGATGTGGAATCCAGTTTGAGTGTTTCCTCGAATTCTAGACACGACAGCTGGATATACCTGTACACTCAGTAATATAATTAGTCAGCCAAGAATCGCAAAGTTCACTGTAACAAATCACGACTTACACCATTCACAGGAGAAAGGCCTCTTGAAGCTCAAGTGGGCCTAGTCGATAATGCACTTTGGCAACCGAAACGTTGGGCACTTGGTTTGAGTCCAAGTAAGAACGTTATAACTTAATAGGGGTTGCAGGTATGAAGAGTCCTAAATAGGACGATTTTACTGCTAGTCATCATCCACGAAAGAGTTTTCACTCACTGCAATATTAAGCAGTCAACGTATCTACTGGAGTCTTACAATGAATCAGCCGTGAGCCGTAATATCTCAGTCACAAAGCCCCTGGCAGGAGAATCGAGTGACGAGATTAAATCTCAGAGGGATTATCAGTTGTTTCGTGGTGGTATATAGGCAACGCCTAGTAATGAGTGCTAGCATTCAAGAAATCTGATGAATCAGCCTTCAAGCAACTCCTAATATCAATTCAAGGACAGTTACTAATATTACTAGCGTATAAAATCATGAAACACAAGTGATTCATAAGGTTTTCCATATCTGAGTGTGTCTATTTGATCCGAAATACGCAAAATCACTTGCAATTTACACAGTTCGTGGTATGATTCCACTAAAGTTCGCTCTGGAAAGCAAAATTATTCAGATTTCAAAATGTGATCTGCTTAACATCATAAATGGTAATCAGCAAACCAAGTGAAAAAGAATGAAACTATATACTACTGATTAGTTGAGACGAGTAGTTCCACAGTACTCCTATCAACTGGGAGTGCTTAACTGCTAACCATGTATAAGTTGACTAAACACAGAACTGCCGTTTCGTTCAGTTTGGGTCCAGCTCGTCGGTGGTGTGCTCTTTTTTTAATTTGGTTCAACGAGCAGAGGCATTTCATGCCAGCCGATTTCAATGGCTGATAGTTCTATGCATTTATGCTTGCTCTCTCGACTTCCACTTTCGACATCAAGGAGATCACATATTTTGTGTGATCTGAATACGTTCGGCTGTCAAAGGAAACTGTGATAAAATCATACCTCGAACTGTGTAAACTTCAGCTTAGGTGAACTGATTCAGCTCTCTGAGCCGAGTCAAACCGAGTACGACGCTGATAATCTTGGCAGTCCAGTGACTGACAGACAGCTGTTGATCTCAATCAATCAGCTATGTGTTTAATAAATTCCTAAATATCCTGCTCATTTAAATTCATTGTGAAATAGCTAATCATTGTCATTTGAGGCACTTATCATTCATCATCTGGGTTACTTTCCTCTTTATTTTCAGATAACCTTCATTACAATTAATGCTCTGTGAAGTGTCAATGTTCAAGCCCTATTTGCTTGATATTCCAGAGACTGTTAAAGCTGATATTGCATCGAACAATTACTGCTGATTTTTAAATTGAAAGAAAATAATCAAAGTCATAACTCGACATTTCTTGTCATAATAACACTGCTGATAATTCCTTCTTTCAATAAAACACTGAACTTGATAATAGTTTGTAAAATTTCTTCTGTTTTCTAATATCTTCGTCATCATAACGCTAGAATCAGATAAAAATCAATGAAACTTTCCAAAGTATTGATTCTTTTTGTGTTCTTGCTCTTGTTGAGTTGTTTGGTTTATTTACACAGCTTCCAGTTGACTATGTCATTAACAATCTCGGTGTGACCTGTTTATCCATGGTATGATAACTCAGACCTACATCGGCATACTCCTTAACCGGGTTGTTATCTGAGTACCCGACCTCTATCAATTCTCTGGTATAAGTCGTTTGGAAGCAATTAGCAAGTGGCATTGGAACTAGCTTTCGTTCCAGTTGACACTCACCAGTCAGCAAAGCGTATCTGTAGTCTGGAAGGAATTTATACCTCCCCTCTTAGATTCGAACCCATGACACCCAATGAGTACTGCATGCACTCAGATGCACTATCAATGAGCTATTCAAGCTCGCGAGTGACCTCATGTAGGACTGTATTGGTTACTTTGATTGGATGCTATGAAGTAACTAGCGTCATGGCACATTGCACGTTTGACTAATAGAATTCAGTCTGCACCATAGATAGGACTAGACACATTACACCAGTTACTGACTAGTGTTCAATAAAAGGATCCTCTGATACTAACAATGATGTCAATAGAGATGAGAGGAGAAATCAGACATAATATATCTTATATTTTGTGGAAATTTATATGCAGCATATACTCCATTCTACTAGCAGCCGTTGAGAAGTACACATGCAAAGGTGTACGCAGTTATAAGCTGTGGGCGAGATAAAATTCCATAGTGCGCTTAATCTGAAACGAATAGGAGGCAAGCATCTTTTGAATGCAGAATTCAGAAAAATTGATATCCAGCAAAACTTTCCATGAAACATATTATACCTTCACATCGACCGATTACCACAACCACATTTCGATTCCAAGACAATAATTCTTCTAGGATAAATGAAGAACATCATCTGAAATACTGGGAGGAAATCCCTAAAGCCCACTATATTTTAAACTTAGCTCTGAAAAATGTTAACTTTATTAAGAGTGAAAACTCTACAGCTAAGCTACTAACTGAAATAAGGCTATAATGTGACAACTGTCACTTGAATCACTACGCTTATCCCCTACTTTGCTATTTCGTTCTAACCGAAAGCTAATCAACATTATTATTCTCGTTTTCAACGTGTATTGAACGACAAGTCTTGGGATTCGCTGTCCCAAGAGTTTATTACTTAATCAACTTATTCAAAATTAAAGATGGGTTCACCAACAAACTACATATTCTCCAATAGAGAAATTTTGCTACTGAATTTATTGATGTGATATTTCTTGTTATAAATTGAATGTACCTCACTGAAAGCACATATTTTGAGACACAAATATTCAAATGGACAACAATGTCCAAAAATTTTCTGGAATGTTAAATTTATAGAAAGTTTGTTCCTTTCCTTTTCGTCCGTCTAAGAACACTTTATTCTTTACCATTGGCTCAATCATCAAGTAGCTCGCCCTGCAACCTGAAGGTCCGTGTTTTAACCCTCGATGATAAAATCATGGGTACATAATGCTGGAGAGTCTTGGACAAGGATGAAACAGTTTTCCAGTACTGTGTTTTTCTATTGGTTTCCTAACTGAAATCAATTTGTACTTAAGCGTAGAAACATCCTATGCCACAGAGTTATTGCGCAACAGAAAACATTATGTAAATAATCGGTTTGACTCCTACAATAATATCCTAAAGCAACTAATTGAATGCTTATATACTGTGATTTCCTACGGACTAGCTTATCAAGGCAGTTAAATGGGACTGCAGAGAACTAAGTGAAGTGGCAGTGTGCTGTAATAGCCGTGCACTTCACTCAGAACCAAAATGTTCATAATAAGCAGCTAAAGTGTCTTACTCCTGTTTTCCCTTTGGATGCTTCGCTGAGTTTTCTGTTGTGGACCACCTGGGACGTGATATTGTTATATAGCTGATGGCTGAGATTATAATCACCTACAATACTATCCTCTAATTCACACTGAACCTGAACCGCACTAGCCTCAAAAGTCTAGGACTAATATCTTGTTATGAAAAGCCAAAGCATAATGATTTACAATTGAAAAGAGGTGTTTTTTGAGCTTTATTCTATCAAGAAAATGTTTGTGACTTTTCCAGTAATACACATTTTGCTGAAATTAAGGTATTGAAATTCCTGCAGAAGGTCTCCAAAGACAAGTAGTCATTTTCATAGTGTCAATAAAAGGCCAATGACACTGTGAAAGGTAGTTAACCGAATATCTCATATTTCAACCAGAGTTTCTCTTCAAATATCAGTTGGTCTTCTGATGTCTTGTTGATTTCTATGAACACGTTTCATTTGACTTATTATATAAATAAGCTGTAACTTTCTGGAACAACTCAATGCCTTCTGTTGTAATTTATTAATTCATGTATTCTGCCAATTTTGTATTGTTCCCCCTTATTCTTCTCTGGGCTTTTCAACGAAAACTAATGTCACATCACGTAAAACAATGTAGGCTGTAGGCAAAGGTATCGAAGTCTAAATCAGTGTCATAGACTTCAATTCCAGCATATATCAGTTATCCTACTGAGACGAACGTCACAAGATACCTACTTAAATTGCCTGAACTCAAGACATGAAAACTGACCAACAATAAGTTTGAGAATGCCACAATTAAGTAACTTAGAGCCCATCGGAAAGATTCTGTAATTAACACAGAAGTCGAATGGCCTTACAAGATGGGAGAAATCTAAGGAATGAAACAGTTATTGGTTGATTCACTCATCCACTTATAATAAATACCATTCAATCAGTTTGTTTTGAGGTAAATGCAAGTAATTCTGAATTATCATCGGATATTCTAGAGAATTTATCTTTCTCAAATCCCCTATAGTAGCAAGTGAATCACACCATATACTACTGGTTGGTTGATATGCTACTAATACTACTTCTCCTACTCACATCAACCTGCACTTCTTGATGGCTAGCCAGATAAAAATATCTAAATATAAGACCGAACCTATCAGTCGTGCAGTCTTTTTAACTCACTTTAGAGGTCTGAGTCAGTTCGACACACCAGGCCACCAACTTGAGTGAATTAGTCATACGTTGAATCAGTTTAGAAATATACATATCTCGAGGTTAAATTACACTAAAGCTCCCTCTGCAAGTCGAAATTGTTCAGATGAAAGCAAATGTGATCTCCTCATAGCATTACATACTTGTATGGTGCATGTCATTCACACCTAAACTTGAAAATAAACAATATCTCAGATATTTTGTATCAAAACATAATTCGTATCAAAGTTAATTGTAGAGCCTGATAAAATATACAATGCAAATATATGATGATTTTGTAACGCCGAATGTACTTTGTACTTACAAAATTATTCAACAAAACATCTATGAACATCAATCGTTATATTATCTTCATATTTTTACAAAATTAGACACCTTAATAAAATATTTTCGTAAGTCAGGAAAAATACAAATTATGTAGTAAATTGAATTCAAATTCATTTCGTCTGTGTCCTCAAAATCCTCCACAAATGCGCTTCAGTTGAAACGTTGAGTACGATTTGTTGACTCAATAAAATACATATCTCATAATGTAGTTCAGATCTTCAAAGAGAAAATGAGATATTTTGTGATTTGATTACTCATTACAGACAAAAGTAGACATCGTGATTAAGATGCAAAATTGTAGTATAAATTCAATCTAGACAATCTAGAGGAATTATTCAGCAGAATACTGATACGGTATGATTAGGCTTTTTTCAGGTGGAGGGAGAGTGATGCTAAGATTTTACATGAATTTTGATGTTGTTAGTGACATTATTGTAGAACATTGAAAGGACTGAAAGATAAATAGTGTTGATGAATCCTAACAGGATGAAAGAAATAATAAAATGATAAATGCGGAAACAGAGAATTATTAATTCAGTGCAAGGGTTATCACAAAATCCTCCTGAATACACAAATCGTCTACATATGGCGTTAGAAATGTAACCATAACGTACTATGAAATGTACAGTTATTGATCAATGTTATGTAAAACAATTACGGTTACAAACATCCAGTACATATATCCCCCTTTATGAATTTGAATAAAGCAAGAACAGTGGTTTTCGCAGAATTATATGGTATCATCATTTATTTCGCTGGCATTTTTGTGGATAACTCCGAATTTAATGAACGTGTGCCGAAAAGCCTACGTCTCAAGGTAACAAACTCTTATAATAGCACTATAAACAGACATCTCCTTGTTACAGGTCAAGAGGTGGAAATGTTTAATTCTTTTAAATTTCTCAATAGACATTGAAGCTCAATTCTTCTCAATTTTTTCGAAGTGATCTCTATCAAACGCCTGAAACCTGATTTATGTGTTCAGAAAGATGCAGTTATTAGTCTTCCCTTGCCCTGGTAACAGGATGCCTTTATTCTCTCATTTGATTACATAATCCTTGGCTTTATTCTCATCCCCCTTTATAATTTATTTTTTTGTCTGATGTTTCTTTGATTTGAGTGGATCTCAGTAGATTGTTACCTAATTTTTTAGTCACTCTGCATATTACGCATCTCTCCTCTTTATTACCTACTCCTTTATCATTGTATACATCCATTCATTTCGTTTAAACTTGAACTATCTGTTTAATAACTATATAAGTGTTGCTTTCTGAGCACTGTTCCCTCAGTCTGGAACCTCCTGTCAACTCATATCATGTAAAATTTGAACGTACGTTAACACTTTTCTGTACATCAACTTAATAATTTATTTAGATTGTAAGCAGCAGTTGATGAAATGCTGACGAAATA